TCAGTATTAACCCTGGTGAGGGCATTCAAGTTTGCATTTGGAGGATTTAAAGCAGCAATACATGTACATAGTGCATTAATCATTAAGCTTATAAATGAACCTACAGAGTTCTTTGATCAGACACAAGTGGAAGAATACTTAACAGGTTATAGACAAGAAAACTCTTTGTACCATGTGTCTTGTTCTTGATCTTAACTGTAACGCCCCGACCGTCCCTACCAGTGGGCCCCACATTCTCTCTCGGGCCTATGGGCCTACCCCTGTCTGACGGCTGGTCCGCTACGTCCGGAAGGCTTTAAAGACTTGTTTACCGACCCTACAAATCACCACATGATCTTTCCTTGTGTTTTGTTCTCACTCACACAGTTCCGACAATCACTTCCCGGAAGGTCACCCATCCTGAAACTACTCCAGCCCAAGCACGCTTAACTGTGGAGTTCTCTCAGGATGGTTGACCGAAAAGATAAGTGCACTTTGGTGACATAGGTGGCCAAATCAATTCTTTTAAACCTCTCCGCATGCACCACCATATTCTTTTAACCGAGGTGTTACATTAACTTCGTTTCAGATTTTCCTCTGATGTACATATACCATCGATGACTCTCTCCCGTTTATCCTCAACAGTGTTCTAGCAAATTATGTTGGTTTGTTAGGGATTATTGTAGTATTGTCTTATGTAAAGTATTGTTAGGGATTATTGTACCATATGTCTCTCTTTTTATTTTATTTTAATTATTATTCGTCTGTTTTGTTGGAGGAGTTACTTTAATGTATAATATGTATACAGTTCAATTCCTACTTCTGCCGTTTTGGTATATATACAGCAAGCTTCAGGTACTTTTGCCTAGACGTTGGGCCATTATACAACTGCTTGTTTTTAGCCAATCTGATTTCATATTTGGTGTTCTCTTAGAGAAGAAGAGGAGTTCAAAGTTTATACTAACTGAAAACTATTTCAGTTATTCTACAGGTCAGCGTCAAGGCAACTACGAAGGTTGGACAGTGGTTCACGATCACCAATCTATCCTTACGAAGGTTGTACAGTGTTTCACGATCATCAATCTATGCATCAGAGACACTTGATGGAGGGCTTTTAAGTATGAGGTAGTTTTGGTTCTGCTTCTAAATGAGTTGTTCTTATGATTGTGTCATGTCCAATGGTTTTGATTGAATGGATGCATGTCAGGTTTTGCTTCCCCACTAATGACAAACCTGTATGCTACTTTCCGTTTGATTCTGCATGACATGTACATTAACACAGCTTTCCTTTGGAGCTTAAGACCATTTTCATTCAGCATTTGACGATTTGCAACAATATTTAGTTTTGTGTGTTCTGCAATAAATGAGTATGGAAGTTTCAAAATTGGTGCAGTTGTTAGGAGCAATGATTGTCTTGTTTTTCTCTGTAATGGCTACTCTCGGGCTCCCGGGGGAACTTTCCAATCACTGTTTTGGTACACCTTGACTGGTAATAAATTGGAGTTTTCATAAATTTAAAGGAAATTAATTGAAAGCATGAAATTTATAATTTGAATCACAAGTGGGATTAGCGCTCTCATATGCAAGCTCCATTGGTTTCTATGTTAGGAAGCTTCTTAACAAGTTTTACTGAAACAGAAAGAGAAATGGTTTATGTTGAAAGAGTTCTCCAGGTAATAATCCTGATTAATTAAGTAATTTTGCTTAAGTTAACGTCACTAATTACATGAACCAACCTTTTCTGTTTCAAGGATCACTGAGGTGAGGATTTTACTCATCTTGCATTCTATAAGCAGGGTCTTGCTGTTTCATGATAAAAAGTTGTGGTTCTCATAGGGATAACCTTTATCCTCTTAGCTTGGGTTAAGTGAGGGTTGGAGAGATCTGGAAGATGCTAGGGAAATGTAAAGGTAAGGCAGAGGTAGAAAGTGCAGGAGGGTTAGATGCAAATGTAAAGGAATTTGGATCTTCCTTTTCTGTTGGGCAGAGACAGCTTGCTTCTGTGCTGCCTTGCCCCCGTTTTTCTCAAGTCATCAAAAGATCCTATGCCTTGATGAATGCACTGCCGACATCGACGTTCACACAGCTTCACTACTACACAACACAAAGGGAATGCAAAGTCGTAACCATCATTACCATTGCTCACCGTATTTCAACAGTTTTTGATTTGGACAACATCCTAAATCTTGAACGCGGAATTCTGGTTGAACAAGGAAAACCACAACATCTTTTGCAGGATGACTCCTCAACTTTCTCAGAGCTTCAAAGTGAAATGTTGTTAGAATCTGATTAGTTGTAACTTCTGATCTTTGCTATAAAGATCTGTGTTCATGATTTAATATATTCTAACTACTAGTTTGAATTAAAGAAAATAAATTAAGCAAAACTAGTTTCAACTGTAGTAGTAGCCTTGTTTGACTGTCATATATGTGCTCAGTTTTCCATAATAAATGACTCTTCTTGGACTTCACTAATACAAAAAACACATGACAAAAAAGATTCTTGTTATACAAAGTTCATATATCTAGTCCAATGGTGATTGAGAAGTAAACAATAGTACTCCTATTGTCTGTATTTCTTCCAAGAAGTTAGTTCAGAAGGAATTAACTCTTCCTTGCAACTTAAAACAGCTTTAGCCATGAGTTTCCCAAGCCAAGCATGATAGAGTAGTCACCTTGATCCGAGCCCTGAAAATACCCAGAATTTGCAAGACTCACTTGCTGCACCTATGAGCTGATTTACACATCCCAAGAGCTGCAGTGACCCATGGCTTGTGATAGGTGGCATTGCTCTCAAACCAGCCCTTGCTCCCTTAAATTCCCACTTCTATATGTCTGGATAAACTGCACTTGCTTTCGGAAGAAGTTCGCCGAGAGCTCTTGAAGCTTCCTCTGGTGGAACATCCGATGAATCATTTCTTGATTGCCATTCCCATCTGCAGATTACGAGGTCCCTGTACCGCAAGCCAGGCATCTGACAAGATCGAAGGTCCATCCTCTAAGATTATGCAGCTAATAGGCCTTACACCAGGTCCAACAAATTTGTTTGTTGAGATCGATAAACATCGGTTTCCTATTAGTACCATCTCCTGAAGCTAAAATATGAGGCGGTGTTTGGCGGAATTGGGGAAGATATAGAGCCGAGCATTTCAAAGATTTCCTGTTTAAAGCAATTTCTTAGCACAAGGAGTAATCCAAGAACGTCTGAGAAACAATGATTTCCACCAACTTACCCCAGAGTCTTAATCTGGTCCTAGAAATCCTTATTCTCATATGTGTATATCTCGATCTAATCTCACAAGACCAAAAGAAGCATGTAAATGATGAAGCAGATCTCTGATTGATAATAATGTAAGTCTCTAAGAGAGGCTTATAATGAATACTCACATGTGTATCTTATTTCGCTATATACTCCTTCAATGGCATTGAAGATATCTGAGGTAAACACAGAGACACCACAGTTTGTGAAGTCACTGACTTGCATTGAGCAGATAACAGGAAATTTTCTAAGCTAAACAAATTTCAGTTTAAGTGAAGGAAATAAAAAAACAGGATAGTTTAGCCAACATTTCAAAGTCGAGAATAAAACAAAGCACACGTCCCAAAATAAAACAGAGCAATGATTAACAAAAGTCTGGAAAAACGGTCTATTTCTCCACGAAAACTATGACATCACAACAGATAGAGCCCAATCTATGACTACGATCCAGATGTACCCGAAAAAATATTTCTCGATCTACATCTCTCTAAATCGATAGTTTTCATCTATTTCCCCATAAATCTGGGTTTAATCGGTTTACGAACCAAACCGGATAGAAAACCAATCTAACCCACTCTAACCCAATCTAACTGAATTAAAAAAAAAAAATTGATTGACCTAAAATAAGACATATGTCGAGATAAAAATTGACGTCTGCAACATGACTACTTGACTAGAAATTTATGCAACATCAATACCATCAATGGTGGATTTTCTCACAAAATCAGTATCATCAATGGTGGAGTTTGTCATACATCCGATTCATTCCCTCACATTATCCTTCGCTCAAGTACGTTTTTTGTTTCCGCTCACGTACGTTAATTTCAATTTCTCTATGTTTCAATTCTCCATTTTTTTCAGTGATCATCTTCCTACTCCGATCTATCGATGGAATCTTCCTGCTATTCCTAATGGCAATAACTCTAGATCAATCACCAAGAGAAGTAAAGAATATCGTCTTATAATTTGGGATCTGCTTCAACTCCGATTGTTTTGTTTCAGCAATTCATGTTCTGTGATGACAACGTCGAACGTCGGTGGTGGCTCTGCCGTGGAATTGGATAGTCATTGGTCTCGATTTTGGGCTCTCCAACCCGTGAGGTTAAGAACACGGGCGATTGATTTTTGCTTCATAATCGAGAGAGGACGAAAAATCTATTGGATTATCTATTTGCAGCAAACCCAATTCGAGAATCAGCTCGGACGAAGAATCAGAGTCTCTGATACCGAATTCAAAGAATTGAATTGAATTTCGAATGATTGCAACAAGAAAAGGTTGGGTTTTTTTTTTCTTCTGTTTTTGTTGTTGTTGTTGTTCTTTAATTCTCTTATGTACAGATCATCATCATCAATTCTTGGAGGATGATTGATAAAAACTAAAAAGAAATCTTTTGTTTCATCTCTGAATTCGGATGAAGAAGATGATGGGCACGACAAAACAGGTTGAAATCGACTTTATTAGAGAATTGGGTTGTAATCTGGTTTATATTAGGTTTAATCCGGTTTATTATCTTTGTAAATTGGTTAAGCAAGCAATAAACCGAATAAAACCGATGGTCGTGTGTAATTAGATGAGAACTATTATTTAGGGGAGATATAAGATGAAAACAATCGATTTGGAGAGATGTAGATCGAGAAATATTTTTTCGGGTACATCTGGATCGTAGTCATAGATTGGGCTCTATCTGTTGTGATGTCATAGTTTTCGTGGAGAAATAGACCGTTTTTCCCAAAAGTCTAGATGTTCACAAAATACTTAATAATAAAATAAAACAAATTTATTCTTCAATGGTCCACGAATTATTGGGGTACGCCGCCGTTATTAATTTCACCGCTCCATCACTCAAAGCCTGAGACACCAAACAACGATCGAGACAGCCATCTTCAACAATGCAGCCACTGTTGCGCCAATCGGGACAAACGAGACACTCTTCTCCTCCAGGATCGGGACAATCGTCCAGACCCCAGCGGTGAAGGCAGTCAGAAAGAAGAAACCCACGATGCTAAGAATGATGAATCCGTTACGAAGCATCCTACGAATGCGAGCCGCATCTCTTGACACGTTAACCGTCAAGTAGACAGCACCAACCAGACTTCCCAGAAACGCAAACTCAGCGCATCCAAAGTAAACATAGTAGCAGGCTTTGTGCCTAAATCGCACGTGTCCGTTCTGGTCCAAACCTCCTGAAGGGTTCAGAATCCCAACCGCCGATATCCCGCCTAGGTACTGCAGAATGGTGGTGATGTTCTTGAGCTGTTCTCGCTCCTACAAGGATAATAAAATTAAGCATTGGACGAAGCCAAAGTATTTATACACACATTATTAAGATCCAAAACCACAAAATCTATATATGTGGTTCTTGATTGGTTATGTCATACCTCTTAAGAACAAAAATAGCATTTTTTTCAAAACCCCAGATTATTAAACTGAGGAACAAAGGAAAGGAAGAAGTTTCTATGTCAATAATCACCTATGCCAAAACGAAAGTATAGCATGATTGCATATTTATACACACATTATGAATAATATCCAAACCACAAAATCTATATCTATGGTTCCTGATTCGTTCTATCATACCTCTTAAAATCAAAATAGCATTTTTTTTTCTTCAAAAACCCAGATTATTAAACTGAGGAACAAAGGCAAAGAAGAATTTTCTAGTATTAGTCTAATAAATCTATCACGTTTGCTCATTTATACACACACTATGATAAATCTATATCTATGGTTCCTGATTCGTTCTATCATAACAAAGTAGCATTTTTTTTCAGAAACCCAGATTATTAAACTGAGGAACAAAAGGCAAAGAAGAATTTTCTAGTATCAGTCTAATAAACCTAGCACGTTTGCATACTTATACACACATTATGAGTAATATCCAAACCACAAAATCTATATCTATGGTTCTTTATTCGTTCTATCATAACAAAATAGCATTTTTTTTCAGAAACCCAGATTATTAAACTAAGGAACAAAAGGCAAAGAAGAATTTTCTAGTATTAGTCTAATAAATCTATCACGTTTGCATACTTATACACACATTATGAGTAATATCCAAACCACAAAATCTATATCTATGGTTCCTTATTCGTTCTATCATAACAAAATAGATTTGTTTTCAGAAACCCATATTATTAAACTGAGGAACAAAAGGCAAAGAAGAATTTTCTAGTATTAGTCTAATAAATCTATCACGTTTGCATACTTATACACACATTATGAGTAATATCCAAACCACAAAATCTATATCTATGGTTCCTTATTCGTTCTATCATACCTCTTAAGAACAAAACAACATTAAACTGAGGAACAAAGGAAAAGAAGAATTTTTTATATCAATAGTTACTTTCGGCAAAACGATGACTGGGGTAGGAGGAGCAGCCATTTGCGTAGAAGAAGGTGTAGAAAGTGTATAAGGTTAGTGAAAAGATTTTGAGAAAAATGGAAAATTGCTTTCTTTATTTTGACTCGATAAAACTCTTGCAAAGAGATACATTGTGTTTTATAGAGACAATAGGAACAATCTAGAATCTAGGTCATCCTTTTCCAGCTGTAAATTGACTAGTCATCATCCTTATCTTGTAGAGCTTGAAATCGGTTTTGAAGGAGCGTTTCTTTTTCTCCATTGCTTGTGTTTGCAGGTACAGGTACAATCATCTTTGTTTTCATCTGATTTTGTTGACTAGGCTTATTTGGAACTGGGCCATTCTTCTCCTTAACACCTTTCTTCACTTGGGCTTCACAGTGGCCCAACTTAGAGATTTCACCTTCAGTTAGACAAAGATGAAATTTTTTTATTATTTCTCTCTCTTTCACTTACTTACAGACATATAAATATCTCTCTGTAGAACACTCTAGAGACTAGGTTAACCTTAGCTACAAAGGTAGCACTGTCATTAACTACTCAGCTAAGATTTGGAGTGGTTTTAATCTATTAACAGAGAAGAGCCTCTTCGTCTCTATCTTTTCTTTAGCGCCTTTCTCTTTTGAAGGTACAGAGGAGCTGTTATTTGTCTTGTTCTACTTTTGACTAGTGGGTTTCACGACTGGGCCTTTTACTTCTTGTGTTGATGGGTTTTATTGGCCCATCTTCTTCTCATTACTTACAGAAAGATGAGACTTTTTTATTTTAAATTGTTACACTGTGATTGACCTATATTATTTAAACTAATAATTTATTTAGAATAATTAAATTTAAAATAAATATAGTACATATATATATCGAAAATATGAACTATGAAAAATATAATTAAAAAATTGAGTATATAATTTTTTAATATGAACAGTTTAATTTTTAATTTTAAACAATATTTGTCAAAACTAACTAATCAAAATATTTTATTTTTCGTTTTCTAAATATTTAGTTATTAATTAAGGACAAAAATGTTATTTTGGAAAATAATAAGCTCTCAAATTTTTAAACATTATAATATACATTTCAAATTTCTAAAATAATTTAGGGCATACAATCCAATTATTCCAAGAAAATATCCCTGAAATTATTACGAGATTCAAACAAAATTTTGTTTTGTTGAAATGTTAAATTTATTAATAATAAAAATTTATTTACAAAATTTTGGCAAAACTAAGAAAAACCTAAACAAATGCTCAAATGTGTGAATCTTTCAAGGAAAACTTACTTACTAGTTCAAAAATCTGATAATGAGCGGTAGATTGAGATATGAGTGATCCCCAAACTCACGGCTTCGGTTAGTCCTTGCTTCAATGTCATAAGCTCGGCCTCCAAAACTGTAATCCGGGAGTCATGAAGTGATCCTTTCATCTGAAACAAGAGATTATCCTCTTGGCCGCAAATTGCTACCCCAAATCCTGCCACAAACCCTCTTGTTTCCTCCCTTATCAAACTTTTTCTTCGTTGCAACATGTTGACTTGACTAAAATATTGATATTTGAAAATATTAAATGGAGGAAATGATGCATACGATACAAATATACAATCATTTAGATGATTAAGTTTTATTCTGATTGATATGGTCTTAATAGAACTTAGTGATTTACATGGTTTTGATAGAATATAGTAATGCTCACTTTATATAAAGTGCCAAATATGATACCAAATAGTTGTGCCTCGTCAAAGTTAATTAATTTAATAATCGAACTTGGTATAAGAGGGATTACAATATAAGAGTATCATAATTTTTTAGATTTTATTTCAATTATTTTAATTTAGTACAAAATGTATTGAAATTTTTTTCAGTGTTTTTTATTTAATAAGAAAATAATTTAAATTTTTAACTATTTCATGAAATATAAATTTATAGATGTAAAAAACATTATTTAGTTGTAAATTTAATTTAAATCATTAAAGTATGATTAAGATGAAAGACATTTCCTTTTTAGTCATTTTAATACAATATGCATCCAGATGTAAATGCAAACTGTTAAAAACTAATTAAACGAACAAAACTTCATTTAGATGATCCATCTGGATGCAATACCAAATTTAGAAACGAACATCATTCAGATGCATCATCTTGATGGATCATCTGAATGGATCATCGGGATGAATGTACAAACGAACATGGCATAAGTTTGTGCTTGTTGGGTTTTGAATTACTCTTTTGAAATAATCTCCTAGATTATAGGAGTAACTCGTTGCTCTATTATTAAGATTATGTTATAGTTTCCTTAGTTATCTACTAAGTTGGTTGTAGAAGACTTGCTCTTCACCAATTAGTTATTTAAGTCTAAGCTAGTTATGCTTAATAAACTGTATCGATAAAAATAAAAAGAAGAAAAAAACAACAACCCTAAATTGATTTCAGAAGAAGCAAGGTAAGATGATTTTCGGAAATCTTGGATTTAGGAATGGTACTTAGTTAATTTAGTAAACCAAAATTTTCATTCCAAATCGTAGACAAATAGTTATGTTAAAAACATTTCGGGAACACAAGGAAAATTGAACCTCAAAAAAAAAAAAAACTTAGACAATTGGATTTTTGCACCTGAAAAAAACTTAGGGGTGTGGGAAGTTGAAGAATAATGAGCGAGGAAGTTGATTAAGAGAATTGGAGAATAGTGAATCTTGAACCGACCAAAAACCGAACTAATTTTACTTCCATGCCGATCGGTTTATGTCAATGAACTGAATTCAAACTGAACAACCAAACTTTGGTTCAGCTATCATAATAATTATTAAGGAAGACAAACGATCACGTTGCAAACAGCCTTGAGTCACCAGTTTGTAGGAGCAACTAACACATATCAGTGTAACAAGAGATTGTAGGCTGATCTCCCTCCAGTTATGCAGCCGACAGCTTGAACCCTCCAGTGCCACTGTCACTGTGGCAAACATCCTCAAGCCTAACTGTCTTGTAGTCAATTTACCAGTTATATCAATAAGACGTCCCACATGTAACCAATAGTTTGACCAGAATAACACAAAGTTTTAGAGAAGTCCTTGATGGCCTAGTGGTTTCAATGTGACTTCTCACACACGACTGCCAGAGGTCACGAGTTCGACTCTCTGTCGGCGGGGTGGAACTGAAACCTCTCCAAATAAAATCTTGTTGTAGATGGCCCACGGGTTTCTATGACGCATATAGGATTTTCCTGGATATGGGGCCTTTCGGGGTGGGGTCAATCACTATAAAAAGTTTACCCTAACAGTTTTTGAAGTCCTTGATGGCCTAGTGGTTTCAATGGGCTTTCTCACACACGACTGCCAGAGGTCGCGAGTTCGACTCTCTGTCGGCGGGGTGGAACTGAAACCTCTCCAAATAAATCCTGTTGTAGATGGCCCACGGGTTTCTATGACGCATTAAAGGATTTTCCTGGATATGGGGCCTTTCGGGGTGGGGTCAGTCACTATAAAAAGTTTACCCGTAACAGTTTTGAAGTCCTTGATGGCCTAATGGTTTCAATGGGCTTTCTCACACACGACTGCCAGAGGTCGCGAGTTCGACTCTCTGTCGGCGGGGTGGAACTGAAACCTCTCCAAATAAATCCGGTTGTAGATGGCCCACGGGTTTCTATGACGCATTAAAGGATTTTCCTGGATATGGGGCCTTTCGGGGTGGGGTCAGTCACTATAAAAAGTTTACCCGTAACAGTTTTGAGAAGTCCTTGATGGCCTAATGGTTTCAATGGGCTTTCTCACACACGACTGCCAGAGGTCGCGAGTTCGACTCTCTGTCGGCGGGGTGGAACTGAAACCTCTCCAAATAAATCCTGTTGTAGATGGCCCACGGGTTTCTATGACGCATTAAAGGATTTTCCTGGATATGGGACCTTTCGGGGTGGGGTCAGTCACTATAAAAAGTTTACCCGTAACAGTTTTGAGAAGTCCTTGATGGCCTAGTGGTTTCAATGTGACTTCTCACACACGACTGCCAGAGGTCACGAGTTCGACTCTCTGTCGGCGGGGTGGAACTGAAACCTCTCCAAATAAAATCCTGTTGTAGATGGCCCACGGGTTTCTATGACGCATATAGGATTTTCCTGGATATGGAGCCTTTCGGGGTGGGGTCAGTCACTATAAAAAGTTTACCCTAACAGTTTTTGAGAAGTCCTTGATGGCCTAATGGTTTCAATGGGCTTTCTCACACACGACTGCCAGAGGTCGCGAGTTCGACTCTCTGTCGGCGGGGTGGAACTGAAACCTCTCCAAATAAATCCTGTTGTAGATGGCCCACGGGTTTCTATGACGCATTAAAGGATTTTCCTGGATATGGGGCCTTTCGGGGTGGGGTCAGTCACTATAAAAAGTTTACCCGTAACAGTTTAACCAACGTTGAGTTGGCCTAGTGGTAAAGGGGTTGCAGCTGTAACTACCGCCACCTGGTTTCGATTCACGGTGGGAGGGACTATTTACAATGCTTGGGTTCCCGGCAAAGAGGTGAAACCACCTTTTTTTTTACCAAAAAAAAAAAAAAAGAATAACACAAAGTCTCCAATACGTATTGATATAAACTTTCTTAAGAAAATATCATTAGATTGAGAAAATTTATTCATGTAGCTTATATTACCAAGAAAAGGAAAATAATATTACAAAAATACTGAAAATCTAACCAAAACAAGTGGTATTATAATGAAAACAAAAATTATAAACCTAAAAAGAACAAATGATTTTATTGTTTGAGCGTGTTGGTTCAGTCCGGTTGCAACGTAGACCCAAAAATATGTCGATAACAAATAACCAAACCGTAATATATATGGACAAAAAAAGATGATCATGCGTCTCATTCTGTTAAGCGCAAAGTATATGTGTTTAATTTTCTCCCCAAGCTTGCATTCGAGATCCCGTGGTTAACTGATCAAGAACGACTAGGCATGGCATAAAGATGCGTCTTGGAAGCTATTGAGGGAACCAGATCCTGCTGTTCCAGGGGACCATAGTCTTTTTCTGCCTGGTTATTTTGCTCCCAAGTGAGAGTGGGAAAAAGAAAAGGACGAACCAAAAAAAGGTTAAGTTGCCATCTCGCTCCTTTATCCGAATAGAAAATTAACGACTTG